AATGAACAAACAAGACAAAAAGAAAACTGAAAACAGCAACAAAGAACAAAACCTGTTGTTTCCATTTCCTGGAGTTCATTTCAATAAATACTATTTTGTATGATCAGAGATACATAGGCAATTCATCTTTGTGTTGGGAGGGGAGTTTCTTAACCCACACCATTTCCCAAGATGACAAGGTTCAATTCAACACTGTATCCATTAGAATTGTTTTTATTTAGTTTTTTGACCTAACAGTTCAGAGGTAAGCAGGTGTTGATTTGGCTAATCAGTAATACTATCAACGCTGAGTCTTTCTATTGCCTTCTTTTATTTTTTTGCCTCTTGATCACAGAATAGTTGCTGTAGCTCAAAATAATCGTATCCATGTTCAGAACAGAGAATGTGGCTTTCCTACCTGCACAGGAGACTAGAAAAGTTAGTATCTGTGTACATTCTCAAAGAAATTCTCTTAGAAAGGAAGAAGGGATTTATAACACATCAATGCTTCTGCTTCTTTTGGTAATTTATTCTGCATATGGTATTGGTTAATGGTCTACCACCAATGTAATCCTTTCATTATTTGGAATTTAGGAAAGTCAATGTCTTATAAAGAGAACATTAGAAAAGTACCCTATATATTTTTCTCTAGAGAAGGAAATTCTGATGCTCTTTTATTTTGTGCCGGCCCTAGGGCTTGAACTCAGGGCCTTGAACTTGGGCCACAAATTCCATTTCTGGCTTTTTGCCTGCTGAACTTTCCTTCCCTGGCTGGCTTCTCTGTGATTCTCTGATCTCAGCCTCCTGAGTAGCTAAGATTATAGGTATGAGCCACCAGTGCCCCATTTGAGATACTCCTTAAAGGTGGTTTGGGGAAGAACTTCAGGGAAAAAGACAAGTCTCTTGAGAAAGCTAATTTGGAGTCATTTGCTGCAATGTTAGTAATTTTGCAAAAACATATATAAAAAATCTTGCAAAGAAATTGTACCTCCTATATTAAAAAGGTCTTACAGATCAGTAGTATGAACTTTGCCCTTTCTATATCAAATTGTTCATGCAGACCAGAGCCCTCGTCCTGGCAGGCTATATATTCCCAGCCCAGGCTCAGTACACCTTTTCTAAAGGTTTATGGAAAGTATAAATAACCTAAAATATTAGTGCATATAACCCAAACATTCATCTCCAAGGACACTTTTCTAATGGATAAAAATTAGAAAATTTGACCAAGTATTCTATGCTTCCTCTGGAAATATGTGCATCAAATATCTGGAAACAAGTATCTTTGAGGAATAATTCAGTTTCGTATGAATTCTCCATAGCTTCAGCATATCATGGAGTTAAAATGAAATAAGAGTAGCAGCTGTTTGTACCATATTATTTCTATTTGATCCCATAGATTAGTTTTTATTCCCTTCAAAGAAATCCAGTATGATCAATAGTAGCTGTGGATTATGCGTTTAAATATAACTTTAAATGCTTTTCAAGTTTTCCTATAATGAATAGAAATTGCTTTTATGTTTACTGAAAATTCACCTTACTATTTTGAAGATGAACTAAGAAGCATGTGTTTGCTGAGAGCCTATTTAGAAAGAAATCACCGGTGAAAAAGTGCTTGGACCCAGCCGTGTGGGCTGTACTATTTCAGCACTGGCAAAGAATGTCGTATTTCTGGACTAGGAAAGGTGTTACCCAGAACTTTGTTCCTCTGGGGGTCTGGCTTTGCTCACTTCTGCCATGAAAAGGTTGTTTAAAGGAAGTTGTCACAATAGTTCATTCTTCTGAATTCACGCAAACCAGGGCCCTTCTATTTTTCTCTTCCTAGAAGGCTTTCTGTTCTTCTGTTCCTCTCGTTTTATGCTAAGATAGGACTGGGGTCATGAAGGGCTGTAACCCCGTTCAGGAAGGGAAGGGACCTCAGTTAAGGAAACAGTTTGTTGTAATTCATTTCTGCAGATATCCCAAGCTAAACCATGGGAGACTGGAGAGATCACTATCATAACACGTAGGTTCTCCTTTTGCCCAGCGTGCATAGACCAGGAACTCAACAATATAGAACAAGTTGCTAATTGTCTCTCTTCCTGTTGATGGGAACACATGGTGTGTGTAGGGGAGTACATGCGTGACTGTGTATAAACCCTAGCCATGTTCTGAATGTGAGCACAGAGGGCAGACAGGAGAAGGGAGGACTCTAAGTCCCCATCAGTGGAGACTTGTTATATCAAGCTATGGGTTTGCTCACCTGCTAGATCCTTATAGAATCAATTTCAATTTCCCCTTCCATTTTTCTTTTCCTCTTCTTCTTCCTTCTCCTTCTCCTTCTTCTTTTTTTTTGCTTTCACATGCATCTGGGATTTTTCAGCTGGAATGTGGTTTGCCCTGGATGATGCCACTTTAGCTAGAGACTCCTGATGCTGAGGCCCTCTGGAAGGAATCACCATGTCCTTCCCTTAACTTCCTATCAGCCTCCAGCATTGAAAGAAAGAAGATGGCTTCTTTTGCAAGTGGTTACAGGACCCCACCCCCACCCCCCTGCCCCTTAGCAAGGCGTGGAAGCAGGAACTTTTCTGACAGCTCTTCATTGGTTTGTGTTCTTTGCCTGCTGTTTTCACTGATTTTAGTGTAAGAGCCTTTGATTTACACTTAACCATACAGCCTTTAAGCACAATGAAGGTTAAGAATTATACACTGCCCTTGTCCAGAGAGTGACAGGTGTAACGGAGCCAGCTCAAGCCCAGACCCTTGCAGACAAAGATGTAGACTAAGATGAAGGCCAGGAAACTCTTGTCCTTTGTATCCAGAAATGCCTTTTTCTGAACAAAGGAAACTAGTATGATTTGGAGCAGATGTTTCTTCCCTTTGTATATAGTCTGCCTTTGTACATAAAAAGAAGCTGTTGAAAAATTCTCTGCTTGGAATTGATTTTTTTTACATATTTTCTTTCTTTATACTCTGTAGATATTTAAAATATAACCTTTCTCTCCAGAACTCTACCTAAGGACATAACATTGGATGTCTAATGACCATCTCAAACTCCCCAAATGCAACTTTCTAGACCTCCTGGCCCACAGATCACCTCTTCTCCGGTTTCTTCCATGTTAGAGAAGGCATGCCCACCGACACAGTGTCCCACAAAACGCCCTCCTTGATTCTTTCTTGTCTCTTCTCAGTCAGTCCTATCCGCAAGTCCTGTCTCCAGAATACATCTGTAAACCTCTGCTGTTAACTTCCTGACACAGTCATGGCCATCTCTTTCTTAATTTTTTTTGATTGTGATGGTAAAAGTGATTTACAAAGGGGTTACAGTCACATGAGTCAGGTGAAGAGTACATTTCTTTCTGGGCAGTGTCACCCCTTCCCTTGCTCTCTGAGTTTTTCCTTCCCATCCCCACCCACAAGTTGTACAGTTCATGTTCCACATGGTGTCCTGTGAGCACCACTGCTGCATTTGTTCACCCTTTGTCCCTCCATTCCTGTGCTTTCCTTTCCCCTCTCAAAGACAGATAAATGGACAAACACAACAAAAAGGAATGAACATCACTCTTAGCTGAACCACTGCACTGGCTTTTGAAGCCATTTCTGATTGCTTCTGATCTATTTTCTAGCAAGCAGCAAGAATCATCTTTAAAATCTTTAAAAAAAAATGCTAAACTGGGCGCTGGTGGCTCATGCCGTAATACTACCTACTCAGGAGACTGAGATCTGAGGATTGCAGTTCAAAGCCAGCCCCGGCAGGAAAGTCAAAGACTCTTATCTCCAATAAGCCACCAGAAAACTGGAAGTGGTGCTGTGGCTCATGTGGTAGAGCGCTAGCCTTGAGCTGAAGAGCTGAGTGACAGCACCCAGGCCCAGAGTTCAAGCCCAACGACCGACAAAACAACAAACAAACAAACAAACAAAAAACCAATCAGAGATAGTCACATGTAAAGTACATGCCTCATCAGATCTGTTTGTTCTACTTAGGGATGGGGAAATTATTCTCTGAATGTTCTTTGCTTTTCCTTCAAAATTTGTTGTTGTTGTTATTATTATTATTTTATTATTTTTGTCAGTTGTGGGGCCTGAACTCTGGGCCTGGGCGCTGTCCTTCAGCTCTTCAGCTCAAGACTAGTGCTCTACCACTTGAGCCACAGTGCTACTTCCAGCTTTTTCTGCTTATGTCACTTGAGCCACAGTGCTACTTCCAGCTTTTTCTGCTTATGTGGTGCTAAGGAATCGAACCTAGGGCCTCATGCATGCAAGGCAAGCACTCTACCACTGAGCCACCTTCCCAGCCCAAAATTTGTTATTATTATGAGCTATTTACTATATAAATTTATGTTGTTAAGAAAAAAGTGCCTAGATTCATTGACCTGCCTACAGTTGCCATAGTAGGACCAGATCAGATGCTTTTGGAGACCTTGAGGGCCCGTGGGCCACATGTTCCCCACCTCTGTGATCTGAAGCCATTCATTAGTTCTTCCATAGTAACCACAACGAGCCAGTTAACCTTATCCTGGTTTTCAGGATCTTTTGCCGTCTGGCCCTAACTCCTAACTTCAGCTCTTAACGTTCTTCCTCCCATCTAGAATTCTCTATACCCCAAGCTCTTTAAGGAGACTCAAGGGCCTTTCCTCCTATCAGCCATGCCTTTCCACATCATCACATGATGATGAACACAAGGCCCTGAAAAGTGTTATCCTCCTACTAGAGCTTCTTCCTGTCCACCTTTGACATGGCCCTGTCCTGTGTGCCTTCTCCCGCTACCGCCTTCCCCCACAGCCAAGGGACCCTTCCTCCCTCCTACTGAAGTCTCCTGGCTGACAGATAGACCTGCTCCCGCCATCATGCCCTCAGTTAAACAGAAGATCCATGACCACAGGTCGTATGTGCTTTTACAGTTTTTGTGTTTCCAAGAGCCTACAGGGAGTCCATGTTTGGTGTGGCATGAAACCTGACCTCAGCAGTCTATCCTATGATGCGGAATCTGGCTTCCTCTCAACTCTGGTACCAATAGATTCTTTCTCTCTGTTCTGATTCTGTAGCCCACTGGTCTTTATAAGTATAAGGTCTTTGGTGTTCTGGAAGACTGCTGCCCAGCTCTCCTTGCAGATGTCTATATGGACTTAGACTACAGGAAAGAGTGGGATCAGTATGTTAAAGGTAAGTGATGCATACTTTAAAAAAATTAGAGAAGCAAATGTATTCTTGCTTATCCTAGGCGGTAGAAAGGAACAGAGATCATTTCTGCTTGGTTGGTGATTCCTTTCAAATTGTAGCACAAAAGTCTTGCACGTGTGCAGCTGAAATGGGCCTTTGCGGTTCTGGCACCAGCTCCTGACATCCTGGGATCCCGTCTGCAGCGGGCACTGGGGCAGCTTTGCTCAGTCTGCTGCAGTGGGATGATAGCCCAGGTACCATGCTGGTTGTGGAAGTGCTATTCTAACGTGCTATTGCAAGTGGAATCAAAGTTCCCTTTAAAGAGGCATGAATACATGCACGGGGGTGAGGGAGGAAAGGAGGGGATGTGGCTTGAGAGCATTCGAGGTGCAGGGATCAGCATGAATGGTAACAGGAAGCACTGAGCAGTGCCTTCAGAAGCCACCGTTAGGCTTGAGGCTGCTGGGTCGGCCGGAACAACAGTCAACAATTCTATTATTACTGAGGAGAAGGGTCCAGGCCTCCAAGCACCTGGGCATGGCCGCTGGGCTGTAGGGATAAGGCTTCCCCCCCCCCCCGGAGGAGATGTAGAGTTGTGACAGGCATTACACAGAGGAGCACCTGGGCATGGCCGCTGGGCTGTAGGGATAAGGCTCCCCCCCCGGAGGAGATGTAGAGTTGTGACAGGCATTACACAGAGGAGCACCTGGGCATGGCCGCTGGGCTGTAGGGATAAGGCTCCCCCCCGGAGGAGATGTAGAGTTGTGACAGGCATTACACAGAGGAGCACCTGGGCATGGCCGCTGGGCTGTAGGGATAAGGCTCCCCCCCGGAGGAGATGTAGAGTTGTGACAGGCATTACACAGAGGAGCCTTCTGTTCCTTAGCTGGGAGAGGCTCTGGCCTCCCAGGCACCCAGGATCAGGCTGGGGAGCCAGCCCCAGTACATGGAGTCTTTAGCCAGGACTCCTGGCTGCAAGAATCAAAAAGCCAGTTCAAGATAGCATAAGGTAAGAAAAGAGAGCTCATTGCTCCACATTGAAAAGTCAAGGGCTACTGGTGTCTAGGACAGTTGCCTTTGGAGAACCGCATAATTTTATCAGGATGTTTCTTTCTCTATTTCTAAACTGTTTTCCTTGGTGTTACCTGATTCTCAGGGGAATTCTTCCCCCTCCCCCCTCTCTTTGTTGCTGGTCTTGGAGCCTGGGCACTGTGCCTGAGCTTCTTTGTGCTCAAGTGCTCTTCCACTTGAGCCACAGCACCCCTACTTTCTGAGTAGTTTATTGGAGAAGTGAATCTCATGGGCTTTCCTGCCCCAGCTGGCTTCACACACAATCCTCAGATCTCAGCCTCTTGAGTAGCTAGGATTATAGGCAGATGCCACCAGTGCCTGGCTTTCTCTCTCTCTCTCTCCCTTCCTCCCCCCTCTCTCAATGGAGACTCCATCCTCCAGGTGATAGGACTTGTATTCTAAACCCATAATAACCCCAGAGGAAGGAGCATTCTCCTTTCCCCTAGGAAGTACAGCCAGAGCACAGGATGGGCTTTGAGTTCCAGCATGGAGCACCTGCTTACCCCTGTGGTAATGGCCATGCCCAGAGCAACCTAGTGTTTGCCAGTACCTTTCCTGGGTAGGGGTTTTGTGACATTCACCTATCTCCAAGGGAGCAGGCTGACTGCCCTACTCTGCCTGCAGCCAGGAAGCAGCTGTGTAACACAGACTCTGCCAGTAGATTCCACCGAAGAGCGGCACATGTGGCTTGAGTTTGGAAAAGAGCAGCACGAGGAAGCAGGCAGCGTACAAAATCTCTTTGTCTTCCCATGGCTGTTAAAGTTATATGACTTCAAGGAAAGCAATTGCAGAGCCTCTCATGTCTGCTACCCAGCCACAGCCCCTTGTGCTATGGCGCCCCGTGAAGCCGCAGCTGAAATAGTCCTGACGGGCTTTTGTTGTTGCTGTTGTTTTAACAGTTTTTGTATTTGTGTGCTGGTACTGGAGCTCTGAACTCAGGGCCTCATGCTCTTGCTTAGCTTTTTCGCTCAAAGCTGGTTCTCTACCACTTAAGCCACATGTTCCCTGTGGCTTTTTGCTAGTTAATTGAAGATAAGAAAGAGTCTCTCAGGTTTGCCCAGGCTGGCGCCAAACCACGATCCTCAGATCATAGCCTCCCGAATAGCGAGGATTACAGGCATGAGCCATCCAAGTATGGCTTAATCCTGAGGTCCTTGTCCTTGCTCTGGTCCTTCCGGATACTGAATACCTGACAGCCTTTTGGCTAAAGTTTGGCAGGTGTGCAGATAAGATCCCAGCTAGCTGTACTATCCCCCAGCTGATCACCGTGGCCACCTTGTCCGTTCCTAGTCCTGACATCACTGTATAACCTGCGTATGCCCCAGATGTACTGACCAGCCTGCAGTCAATAAATAGGGAAGCAGGCAGCAGGCGATGCCCTGGAAGATGGTTAAGATGCTAGCAGAGAAAAGGGACATGATGCGGAGTGCACAGAAGCAACTGTACTGCACTCTTCCCTTACTTCCAGACCTCCGGTGACATGTTGCAATGACTAGCCACTTAATCAACAGGCTGATTTCAACAGATTAAAATAAATAAATAAGCCCTTAATTTATCCCTGTCAGCATATCCCCTAGGGACTCCTTGGTCCCTGAGCAGACTTTTGGGGTTTCTTCTTGACACAGTTATGTAGCAGCCCTCCACACAGCCTGGCAGGGGAGAGGCAGGAGCCAGGAGGCTGTGTGCTTCCCCCTGCAACAGCTGGCTGCTGTTTGCACACCCTGGCATGAAGGGATCTCATCCCCTGGTGCTGAGGCATCATGGGAAGAAACGTGGGTTAGCCAGAGAGCCCATCCACTGTCTACCTTTCTAGGAGGGACTTTGCCCTCTGAACACTCCAGACCTAGAATCTGTCATTCGTTCCCTCTGGCTGCCAGGGGTTAAAGCTTGTTGAGGAAGGCAGGGCTCAAAAGCAAAACTATTGGTGTTCTAGTGCCATCTGGTGGCTAACTCATTAAAACACCTCTAACTTGGTTTTTTCACATCGACATCTTTTCAATGCAGTCTGTCCCAGAATATGGTTTATACTGTGCGCATTACAAATTTTCTTGGGCTCTGTTGGCTTTTGCTGTATTTTTTATGTCCTTTTGGTGGTCATGAAACTACAAGACTTTAAAAATATATTTGCCAGGTGCTGGTGGCTCAAGCCTATAATCCTAGCTCCCCAAGAGACTCTTATCTCTAACTAGTTAGCAAAAGAGGTAGAAGTAGGAGGATGGCTCAAGTGGGAGAGCATCAGGCTTGAGTGAAAAAGCTAAGGGACAGCACCCAGGCCGTGAGTTCAAGCCCCCCCAGTACTGGTACAAAAAATATGAGTTAGTGGTGTATTATGCATGATGAGGCTATCCAGGTTTCTTGTGACTTGAAACCACAGAAGACTTCGGACGTACTAACTTCTTCTGTTCTCCTGTAGAGCTCTATGAAAAGGAATGCGATGGAAAGACAGTGGTGTACTGGGAAGTCAAGTACCCCTTCCCCATGTCCAACAGAGATGTATCCTTCAATCCTTCAAAGCCCACCATGCCTCCACACCCCTTCCCCCACCCCCACCTCCTCAGATCCTGCGTGGTCTGTGCCCTTGGCCCCTGGCTGATGTGTGAGCTAAACCTCATTTTTCAGCTGTGTGGACAATACTGTCTTCAGTCTTTATGGGAGGATCTGTTGGAACTGTGACTTCTTGTGTGACTAATTTTTTTCTCAGAGGCTCAAAGTGTGATTTCTGGGTCTGACCACAGGGTCACTACGGGGCAGCTCATGCTCTCTGGAGAAACTGTCCTGGGCTGGAACTTGTTGGCCCATGGAGTTGGGGGCTCGAAAGGATCACTTTATGAAGCCTAGTGGTCCAGCCCCTTCCACAGAACAGACGACAGGCATGCAGGCGAATGGGATACAGGCACTGGCACCCATTCCTGCACTTTCTGCTCTCCTCAAGACTCCCCCCTTCCCCCAGCCTCCCCTCCCTCTCCAACCTCACCGTCCTCTTCACTATTGGCTCTGGACACTAGGTGTATGCCTCTGCCTCTCCACTGCCTTGCTTATGCAATGAAGTGGCCACATGAAATGGAGGGACTTTATGGTGGCCCAGAAAACAAAATGAGTTTCCTAGCTTTTCTGTATGTCTCTAAGGGCTATTAATTTATTCACCAGAGGAAACAGTGCAATAAAAAAGAACATTTGTTTGGGAACAAAGGACCCCAAGTTAAGACCATGTTTGACCATGAAGAACAGCCTTTCACTTCTCTGGGTCTTAGTGAACTCACAGTCACAGGCGGAACATAGGTACTGTGCCAGGTTTTAATCAATGTATCGGGTAACTTTTCGTCCATGGAGTGTCTGGTGTCTGGTGATGAGCCAAGCAAGCTGCGGAGCGACTGGAACAATAATTTGCTGTAAGGAAAAAGTTCAAGGCTTGAGAGAGAAGAGCCAGAGGCCAGAGGGAGGACCACAACAGCCTTCCCAGAAACATGGAAGAGCTTTCCCCATCAGACCCCGGGGAGCGGGGCAGGGGCGGAGGGGCTGTAGGGACATGGAGGTGTCTGGAGGTGCAGTTTCTGTGTTTTCTCAAATGCAATTGTGTTGCCTCAGAGTGTCCTAGGCCTGAACTCTGGGCCTGGGCGCTCTCCCTCAGCTCCTCAGCTCAAAGGCTAGCGCTCTACCACTTGAGCCACAGCGCCACTTCCGGCTTTTTCTGTTTATGTGGTGCTGAGGAATTGAACCCAGGGCCTCATGCGTGCGAGGCAAGCACTCTACCACTGAGCCACCTTCCCAGCCCTTTTATTTTTTTACGTTCTAGGCAGCTAGTTTGAAACCTCATTCTTTTATTTGAATCTATGAAACTGTAATGATTGATTAATGTTTGAGCCCCATCTGGCTGTGACATCACAGGTAGCCAGATTCAGTTCAGTCAGCCAGTTTCTTTCATTTCAGCTGGGCTGTGGAACTTTGGATACGTTTCTTTTCCTGGTGGAGCCTCAGAGTTGCTGTCTGAGGAATGGAGACATTTGTATCAACATCTCTTAGGTTATAATTATCTTCTGGAACAGAGCTAGTGGCTGATCTGTAAACACCTATGGAGATGAAACAACTTCATATGATTACTAGATGTCTATCATTATAGCTTTAAGAACAGGACAAAAATGACCAATCATTTATTCTGTCCCAGGCTCTCTCTCCCGCTCCAAGCAGTCTTGCCTGGAGACTAGTATGACCAATAGCACTACCTTTCCCTCGCTTGGGACATTGAGTCTCAGAGAGGTTGACTACTTTATCCAGGAGCACAGAAGTGCCACGCTGGAGGTGCGGAATCCCCCACTCCTGCCTTGCCTCTGACTTAGGAGGCTTCAGGCTTCCTCTTGCCCGTTTGCTGTGCTGGTGTTGGCGTGCCTTGACTGGCCATGCAGTATGTCTTCGTCCGGCAGCAGCGAGAAATGGAGGTGGAAGGACGGAAGATCCATGTGGTCCTGGCTCAGAGTACCTCCGTGCCTCAGTTTCCTGAGAAGTCGGGTGTGATCCGAGTGAAGCAGTACAAGCAGAGCCTGGCCATTGAGAGCGATGGCAAGAAAGGGAGCAAAGGTAAAAGCGGAGGCGCAGTTCATACATCTGGCAGCTCGTCCAGCGCAGGCCAACAGGAAGCCTGGGCTGCTTGGAAGGCATGTCATATACATGTTATATACACAGACGGCAGGGGAGGGCATGGGGCAAAGCAGGCCTTGGATCTGCCATGGGGAGGAGAGGTCCTACCCTCCTATCCCTGCCCCCAAACTTGGCGAGAGCCTGAGGTTCATGTTTCAGTGTGACCCAATTTGTTTTTGTTACCACCTCCTGCCTTATCAAAACACTATAAGTAGGTAGGTATGGGTGGCTCATGCCTATAATCCTAGCTACTCAGGAGGCTGAGATCTGAGGGTTGTGGTTGGAAGCCAGCCTGGGCAGAAAAGTCCCTGTGAAACTTATCTCCAATAAGCTTCTCAAAAAAGCTGGGAGTGGTGCTGTGCCTCCAGTGATAGAGTGCTAGCCTTGAGCACAAAGAGGCACCCTGGGATAGCACCCAGGTCCTGAGTTCAAGCTCCAAGACCTACAAAACAAAACAAAACACCACAAGTAAACCAGATGGTTTAGAAAGTCACTTTGGCTGATCCTGTGGATACATAGGCTAGGCCTGGGTGTGGACAAGATGGGGGGGGCGGCAGATATACTGGAAGATGTGACTTCCATTGAAGAAAAAGGCAGAGACTCAGGACCTGTCTACCTTGAATTCTAGTGTTCCCTCACCCCCCCCGCCCCCATCAAAGAGGGATGTGTGGGTACAGATTGGGGCTTGCAGCCACCTGCTTTATTGCAGTGAGTGTGACCTGTGTCCTAGGCAAAATCTGAAGCATACATCTGCATGTTAGGTCTGTCTCCTTGACTTCCGTGAGTCTCCATTTCATCATTTATAAAATAAGATTCATTCTGCCAGTTCCTTTTCGGTTGTGATAACAAAACACGAGAGACTCAGCACCTGCCAAATGTTCAATAAATAGTAGAAAAATATGCCTGTGGCTGTTTTCAAGAATTCTTATTTGTAAATACCTTCAAAGTAAGTGGGTAGAGAAAGGTTCACTTGGGTATATGTGCTTGCTACCTTTCCCTGTGCTTTCTGGGCTGGAGTCTGATGATACAAAACCTGTGGGCATTTTGTTGTTGCACTTTTCCCCGTGCTTTCCCCCCCCTTTCTGAATTGTCATTTTTCCCCCCTTCAGTTTTCATGTATTACTTCGATAACCCGGGTGGCCACATTCCGTCCTGGCTCATTAACTGGGCGGCCAAGGTGAGATCCTGGGCGGCAGAGGGGGTGGGGAGGGGTAAGTATGCTTGACAAATGTTGACTTAGCCTCTGGAGCTGTCAGGCTGAAGAGACACATTGTCCCTGGCGTAATGAGGCTCCTTTATGAAGACTTTGGTTGAGTGACTCTGGTTAGGGCTGGGCTTGCCAATACCCAGGATGAAGGCTGGAACAAAAGACAAAGAATCTGTAGCTTGGAATGCCAGCCCCTCCCTGGTAGTGGCCCCAGACCCTGCCAGGATCACTCTCTGGAACCTTCGAACAATAGAGTGCTCCCTCTAGGAACAATAGTCCCCCAGGCCCCATGTCTGCTTAGGAAGGTGTAGGACAAACAAACTGGGCTTGGAGACAGCCGGATGTGTGCAGGCCTAAAGGAAGCCTCCAGTTTTGTCATTGTGGCTTTGTTCTTCTGTGGGAAGAAGGGATTGCTATGGTGGTCTGAGGTCCTGGCATCATGGGGACCTTCAACCTGCTTTATACAGGAACGATGAGAAGGCTGAGCAGCTTCGAGGAGAGAGAAGTTGCACAGATTGCTTTTTAATAATGGAGATGGGTATCCCCTGCCCTACAGAACAGGAATGAGTAAGACAGAGTTTGGGGAAAAGCCTCACATAATATGGAACACTTAATTAAATAGCAAGATACCCTACACTCTGATTGCCAAAGCCTTAGCCTGTTCTAGGTCTATAAAGCAAGTTTTTCCTCTCACTTTTTTTTTTTTTTTTTAAGAATTCCACAATTTTTAACTCATTTCCAGTGTCTGCTTTTTTTTTCTTCAAGAAAGGTCTCAGAAAGCTCTCTCTCTGTTTTTCCCTGAGCTACTAGGGTTTGAACATGTGTTCTACCACTTGAGTGCTGCTTTAGTTTATTTTTCAGATATGGTCTTGAGCTCCTGCCCAGAACAGCTTTAGATCTTGATCCTCCTACCTATCTACCTCCATCTCCCAACTGGGATTACTGCCTTACAGATGGCCTGGCTTATTTTTTGAGAGTAGGGTCTTGCTAACTTTTTGTTTGTTTTTTGGTCCAGACTGATCTGGAACTGTGATCCTTCTTGCTCTATCTCTTGAGTTGGTGGGATTGCAGGTGTGGCCATGCCTGTCTTGGTATCTACTCTCACTCATGCTAGAGTCTTTCCTTTCCTCATTATTTGAGACAATGTTGTGTTGAAATCTGGCTAAAGGCTCCATTGCCTTTCTTATGCCCAGTGCCATTTTGTTTAACCTTTTGCCCATCCCAAAGAATTGAGTCATAGAAATGACAAGGTCTTTTTTTCCTTTGCAGAATGGAGTTCCAAATTTCTTAAACGACACAGCAAAAGCTTGTCAGAACTACCTCAAGAAATCATAAGACTGACTCGTCGGAACTCTTGCATCTTTGGAAGTGTCACCATCCACTGATGCTCAGCCTTCCTCACATTTCTGTCGTCAGAGAAGTGCACTTCCTTTAGCACATATCCCAAAGCACATCTGCCTGATGTCTGGCTCACTGGCTTCCTTCCTCCTTTTACTGCCCTGGCTGGTGGGGTTGCTTTCTTCCACCATTGAATGAGGGACAGGAAAACCTCTGCTTGCCTATTTTACATAGGATTACTCAATAGGTTACAGAAGCACCCATGGTAGGTGGAGGAAGGAAAACAAAATGTAAAGGCAGCCATTCTCAGCCAGGTTGGAACTTTCCAGAATGTGCTTTCTTGTAACTCAGGAGGGATTGCTGACAGCTGTCCCTCTATTCAGAGCTGACCTTGTGTGTGTGTGTGTGTGTGTGTGTGTGTGTGTGTGTGTGTGTGTTGTGAACACTGGAGACATTGGCTGATGTCCATTTGCCTTTTGCTTTGCTGACTTAAATTGGCTGGGGTTTAAGGTAGGAATCCAGAAAGTCTTGACCTGGTCCTATTTGAAGGATTAGTAGCTGCTATGACATGGGACCATTGTGTGAAGCACTTTAGGCCTGACTGAGCATGTGATATGATAACCACCCCATCCCACCCCACCTCTGTCCATATCTAGAGTTTTCTTTTTTCCGTATACCAGTAGGGAAAGGCTGCCTGTACCTCTTGGCTCTGTTTTATGGAGGTATCAAAAACAGAGTTGCTTTGTGCACAGTACTGTGATACAGCGTCTTTCTCTGCAGCTCTATGACAGTCCCTTCTTACTCATGTCAGTGCTATGCTGCACACAAAGCATCTTTGCTCTTGATGCCTCAGTTTCCCTTCTGGAACATCTGGAGATGTTGAAGAGACAATAATAATTCACAAGCAGCTAGAATGGAATTAGTAGCTTGGTTGACTTTACTTTTTATTTGCTCAAGAATTCTACCTCTTCAACCACCAAAATGACCTTCAGAGTACTGTATTTCCTTCTGAATTTTTGCTAGGGAAAGATACTGCTGCTGTGGCTGAAGGCAGAGTCTTGGTGACCTCAGGGAACATTTGTAATCAGTCTGCGTACTGACACCAAATTTGATGAATGGACAGGGACATACAGGATATAAAGCCATTGGTGTCCCTCAGACCATATGTTTTCTCTCTAGGAAGAAAGATGTACCAAAATGAATAAACACAGAGTGATTTAAACTGCTTTCAGAATCTTCTTGTAAGAACAAATCAGTAAGGCCTCTTTTGTTTGCAATTGATGGACAGCCTAACTTATAGACTTGAACAGAAAAGTATTTTAAGCTCATTTACATACAAGGACAGACTGGGGCACTTGTTTGGAGTAGAGGCTGCTTCTACACAGCATTGGAATGGAAGTGTGTGGGGAACTGAGAACCCTTGCACACTATACTTGGTGACAGAGTGCAACCAAAAATATACCCGGTAGGAGCTTAAGAGGGTATGCTTGATTGCTCACAGCATATCTTTCCACAGTGCTGAGGTGTAGCATCCAAATATCATTTACTGTATCATGCAAATAAGCACATTGCTGGGCTTATCTTCCCCCAGGTTTGTGTGTCTCTGCGTTAGCTGTAAGCATTTTGGATAAAGCAGTCATTGCCCTTTGGTTGCTGGCTCTGAAGGTAGTAGACAGTAGGTATTCACATGGTGACTGGCTGAATAGGTGATTTAGAGAAGATTGACCAAATGACATGAACCCAGGAGACAAAACCCAGCCAGATATGCAGGCTCATTCCTCACTGGTTCAAGTCGAAAGAGTCCAAGTCAGCATTATGCCAGGCTCTGAGATCTCTAGATTCCCATTGGTCTTTCCATGGTAATTCCAAGAACTTTCTTGCTCGGCTCAGAGGTGGCTCTGCTGGCTGGGGATACTGTACTATTAGGGGAATGACTGAATCCAGCATAGCTTAGGGTTTCAGTTGAGATTTAATGGCAAAAAGTAGCACTACTGTGAAGCCTGATTTGTTTTTTCCACAGGCGAATTATCCACGCTGCATAACAATTCCACTTTGGAGCTGAGGCGTTCCAGCAGCACAGGGTCACTGCCCTTGAAAAGATTCCCATTTCACAGCACGAGTCCTGGCTTGGCTCTCAGGCTGCCATTCCTCCCTCAGGATCCCCACCCATAAGGCCTGCCCTTCGCACTTCCTAGTTTCCCAGCTAGATCTGGAAGAGACAACGCGGGAAGAACCCACTGGAAATGCCATCCATCCAGCTCAGAGCACTAGGTTTAAAAGTGTGGAGACATTGATTCACTTACGGGTGATTTCTGTCATCAGGCATGAGGACAGGTAGAGTGGTTCCTGGGATGAATGAGGCAGACATGGCATTTTCCTGCAGGGAGTTGATAGTCTCTTGAAGAAGACACAAGCCACTGGCAGGCAGTAAGTACTCTGAAAGGCCAAGTAGAGGGCTCTTTAGCATGGTTTCCTAGCCAAGGCTGAGGAGCAGGAAGCATCTTGGAGTTGAAGAAAACTGTTCTAGACAGCAGAACCAATTGCACAAGACTCTTAGGCAGGAGAGTCAGTGGTATCTGATGGGCTACGAGGCCAATATGGCAGGAGCAATAGTGTGAGGAAGGGAGTCGTGTGCACCCCTGAAGTAGATGCACAGGCTATGGGAGATCTGGCTAGCCATGAGAGATATCAGACTTCATACTGAGGGCATCAGGAAGCTCTGAGGGGTTTTAGGCTGACCAGTGACCAGATCAGATTTTTTCATTCCTAACAGCTAGTCACTGTTCTCCATGGTTCCCTAACATTTCTGATGGTCCCTCTCGGATGGCCATGGAGGAAGGAGCTTCCTAAGGTACTTCACGTCTTGTTACTTTGAATTCTTTTCTGCTGTCAGACAGCATATAGAGTAGCCCAGGCTTAAATTGAGTTTCTAACATTGGCTTATGAAGTAAAAGACACACACACACACACACACACACACACACACACACACACACACACACACACACACACACACGCAAGAGGAGTATCGATGCATCTCACTTGGCTTTCCTGGCCTCTGCTGGTGTTTAAAACCTACTCAAGCATGACTGCAACATGTCAGACAGAGTTATTTCAGGGGGTAGAAGTGCAAAAAAAAAGCATTAAAAAAAATGTAAGCAGATCCATTTACTACAAAGTTTCTTTTCCTATATTCATCCCCTGACTACAGGGAGGAATGTCTTCTTACTTATGAAGAAAGACACTTAGGGTGTGTTTAGGTCACCAACCCACGAGAGAGCTTCAGGTAAGTGATTGATTTCGCTCATTGGCATGTGTGCCTGTGTAGGGGTCGACTTGGGTACACACAGTAACAGGTGCTCTGTTTCCCCGAGATAGATAGATGGCAACTAAGCCCCATGTTGTGTGGGTGGCTTCTCCAGTTCTCCACATGGGCTCTTCCAGTAGGGCACTCAGTTCACTGAGAACATGGAATATGTGTGCCAATGGCTACACTAGAGCATGTGCACACTCTTGTATGGAAGGAAAATGTAATCTCTTGGGAGCTTGTAACAACTTGCTAATTATTGAACAGGATCAGCAGTCTTCTATGGCCAAAGGGGTTGAGTTTTGAGCATGTAGCCTTCTAGCAGCCACACTAGTGCAGTATGGGTATAGTATCTAATTCTGGTTGGTTGTCCTGAGCAAAATAGGCATCACTTCCATCTCAGGATCTCAAAAGGGAAAGGCACCTCACTGGCCCTTTTCTGCTTCCCTATGTTGGGGGAAACAACGAGAACTGGAACTCAAAGATGAAATCCTCAGATTCAAGGTGACAAACCAGCTCTACCACCCCTAGGGGCTGCAAGTTGCCATTTTAGTGTCCATTGAAGATAGAAACAGACTTCCTTCTTATTTAAATAACAGAAAAGTAATTAAAATAGCATTGGTTCTTATAGTGATTAATGTGAGCCAAGAAATCAGTAACCAGCTCAAATGTTCCCTCATCCATAGACCTCTGGTCTCCTGACATTTCCCAAGTGGTCAACCATCTCTGGTTTGCTCGTTTCATTTAGAAATGCGTCAGTTAATGTTAGCTGTTCTTACCTACTACTTCTAGTACCCTACCTCCATCTCAAGCTTCAGGCTTTTTTTTTTTTTGTCTTTGAAGAAAATCTTCCCTGCATTTTGTCAAATTTCTGCCAATGCTCACCATAGTCTCTCTATCAGAGAGATAGAGGTGTTTGTTTTTTTTTAATTTAATTTAATTTAATTTGTGAACATACTGTACAGAGGGGTTACAATTACATGGGCAGGATAATGCGTACATTTCTTACCAAGCATTGTAGCCTCCTTCTTTGTTTACCCTTCACATCCCTTCCCAGCCTTCCCTTCCCAATCCTTCTCCTTCCTCCCCCTTCTCCCCCCCCTCCCCCCCGCACCGATATTGTAAAGCTCGTTTTGGACATGACAACTTGTACTTCTCATTGTTGCAACAGGTCCACCTGAGATAGAGGTTTTTGAAAAGCAAAGGTAGGCTATTGCCAAGTAAGTAAAATCCAGCACCTCAGGGCCGGAAGTCACTGTTGATCATCTCACTGCATGGGTTCTGCGTCCTCCAGAGACAGAAGACCAACAGGCTGGCTAAGAAGCTCAAATCTGCAGTCAACAAGCCAGGGTGCAGTTCTGGTCCCAAAGCTGACTCAAGAAGAAACAATGCAGTAGAGTCATTCTCTACTCTTATCCCACTGCATAACTTGTAGTACTTTATCATTAAATATTACTTGACTTTTTTTGTTTAGATAAGCTGCAAGAGAGTACAGAACAGCTTGAACTCAGGGCCTATCATTTAGCAAAAAGTTTCCACTCAAGACTGGCATGCTACTACTTGAGCCACAGCTCTCTTGGCTTATTTATTTATTTATGGTTAACTGAAAATGGCTTTGATTCATGATCCTCAAATCTCAGCCTCCTAAGTAGTCAGGATTGCAGGCCTGAACCACTAGTGCCCAGCTAGGGTCTGACTTTTAATTATATATACAACATATGGAACTCAGAATCATCCTAAGCTATCTGCTGAAGGAATAAATGACTCGATGTTTCATGATCTCAGGTAGTCACTGCCAAAAAACATGAGTCTGAAAACATCCCCCTTAATCTTGTGTTCCTCCTAATTCTTACCAAAGTGGACATTGAGACCAAATGGTTTCTCAGAAATTTTAAAGTGAGTGTTGATTTTGTATTTCAAGACATTTTTCTCCCCTGGTTATCCTTGTTATTATTTGCTTTTGCATTCCAATTCAACACTTTTAGAAGACAGATGCCAATAGTCCATACAGCAGATGGTATTATTGAGTTAACTGGGGGGAGGAGAGAGAGAGAGAGAGGAGGCAAACAGGGCTAAAAGAGAAGGCATTTTCATCTGAAAGAGAAGAAAACTTGTATTACTCTGGGAACAGAGAGGGTGGGCGTGGGGAGCGGGGGAGAACAGCATGCCACAGCTATTTTCTCTTATCTACTGCATCCACTCCTCTCTGGTGGTTTAAAAGCTGAGAAAAAGTCAATGGAAACCAAGCAGCCAAAAGCCAGTACCTAGAGCTCCAGGCAGCCAGATACAACCATTGTTTCATGTCAAATAGCTTCTGTGGGGCTGCGTCTGTTTTTAAGTGGTCATGGATTCTGCTTACCAACGAATATAATATTTCATCTTCCAAGGGAGCAGAAATAACGTTCTTCATTGCGGAGCCTGTATTTCAGGACCACTGAACACTTCCAAGTAGGATTTTGCCCTCGACGACATGGCTGGGCTCATATTCCCATTTCAGCTACTTCAAGCTCTTGTAAACAACATTCATTTTCCCATTGCAAGCTAGGAAATGTGACTGCAAAACAGTGCTGGGTCCCGGGAGAGCTCCTGCTAGGGAGGGCATTTCCTCACATCTCATTTGAGTCTGAATTGATGGCGTGGTTGAGTAATCGCCCGGTCTATATCTTCCCATCCTATTCTGTTCCACTAACTTATAAAGCAGCCAGTGACCCGCCTGAGAAATAGCAGGTCCACCAGATGTTTCCTGAGCAAAGACAGTGCACATTTCCCCTTGTACATCATCTTGTGAGAGGGGAGGGCTGGCGAGACTCGCCCCTGGCTGACATCATTGGGCGAGGTGGCCTGGGGGAGCATTTCAAAGCAGAGCAGCTTGGCCTGGGGAAGAGCTCAGCTGGCAGCTGTGTGCTGGGATTAAA